CATTAAGAACATTCACTTTGCTGTGCAACCACCACCACTGTCTGTCTCCAGAACTTTTTCAACCTTACCAGCTGAAATTGTGTACCTGTTGAAGAATAACTAGCCCCTGTCAACCACTAGTCTACTTTCTCTCTCTATGAATTTGACTATGGCAGGTATCTCTTAGAAGTAGAATCATACAATATTTGTCCCTTTGTGTCTGCTTATTTCATCCAGTATAATGTCTTCAAAGTTCATTTTTGTTGTTCATCTACTCAGATAATTTTAATGTGCAGTAAGGTTGACAGCCTTACCTGTCAATTACTTTCATTTGGTATATGATAAAATAACCACTAAAACCCACAAACCTATTCCAGCTTATTTTCTGAAGTGTAGCCAAGTTTTTCAGCCTGCATTCTGGTTTATCAACCTCTGGATTCCCATATGTTTGTAGAAACTTCTTCAAAACTCAGGGATAACCTCTTCTAGAAAATGGCCCCTGACAACTTTCTCTCTACATCTTAGTAGGCATCCTACTTGAATAGCACTTACACTTGTATTGTAACCATCTGTTGGTATATTTGTCTCCTCTCTAATATATAAATTCATTGAAAGCCCTACTTTTGTAGTAAATAGTAACAGGAAATTTAGAATCAGGGGAGAAAAAGGCTTTGAATCCCAGCACCCTCCCTTCCTAGCTATGTAACTACAGGCAAGATACTTAAAGCCAAGAAGTTTCCTTAGTTGGAAAATTAAAACAATAAAACTTAGCTCATGGAGTTGTTGTTATTATTAATAAATATGAAATATTCAGCCAAGGGGCTGCTGTAGGGTAAGCACTCAATTAAAGGAACATGTCATTTAGCTTGTGTACTGCTATACTTAATATAGAGCATGCCATGTAGGAGGTACTTAAAATATTCAGATTGAAGGACTATATGCAATAAAGCCAAATGCAGTGAAGCAACAGTGGTTCTGACCCAGGGTCACTAGACAGGATTACACAGTTTGCAAATGTGCAAAAGTACCTGCAGGGGGCCTAAGTAGGGGCTGAAATTCAGCCCATTCATTCCCTGGATGCCACCCATTGTGCCCTGACAGCAGCTGCATCAGCCCAGAGGAGGGAGCACTTCTTATATTTCAAAAAAAGATGCCATATTTATGATTACCGTGGTCTGTGTAAAGGATCTTCTGCTTGTTATTTTTCAGGAACCACAGGAATAGTTCCTTGAGGCTATTTACTGGAGAAGAATTCAGAAGAGAAATATTTATTGACAGAGTTTTCTTACAAAAGGTTGTTACAGTAGCCTTTTTAAAAACTCACTGAAGGGCTATCTTTGAAATCAGCACTCAGGTTACTCTGGTGCTCCTGTCAGAATGATCATCAGGAAGTGAGGCACTAATCACACACTTTATTAAATTGCCTCTGAAATGCTTAATAGCATCTAATGCAATGGTTTATTCAAAAGATCACACTGCACCTGATCTTTGCTCTGCAAGTTGTACAATTGCATACGCCTGCATCAAAAATAAAATCTCATATATTTTTATGGAATTAAATAAATTATATCTGGTTGTTAAAAATGAAAAAGGAATGTATGACCTTTTAAATATTTAATGGCTGCACTAATGGTGATGTGCCTATAAGGTTCATCCCCAATTTTCTCCCCAGTCTTCTGAAACTTGGGAGGTGATCCCCCACTCCTTGTTCTTCAGCAGTGTTTCTCCATGGGGCTCTGTTGGCATTTGGGACAGCACACATCTTCAATGTGTAGGGCTGGCCTATGTACTGCAGAACGTTCATCATCTCTCATTTCTACCCATGAAATACCAATAGCATTCCTGATCCTTGTGACGAGGAAACACCCTTTGGGAGCGATACTATCTCACTTTATAATTTCATAATTTTTCCAGTTCAGCAAGTGCATTTGCTATTTGTTCTGCATGAAACTTCAAAACCCCTGGTGACTGAGTCTTGCTCAAACTCTCATTTCCCAATGGCTGGACACCTGTTGCCCAGGACACTCCTATGATGAGAAGCCAACTGTTTGAAGTGCTTCTGAAACCTTGCTGCATATATATGGACAGCTAAATGGGTCTAGGGCTCTTAATCCTTAGTCCATGACTATTTTGAAAACCACAATATTCAAAATACTATTTCTGAAATACATTAATGGGTATTCCACACCAAGAGAAGGGCTCCATGAATACATTTTAAAATTCCAAGTTATAAAAATTTGAAAACTTCTCTTTACTACAAGATTTATTAAAGTCTTTATTTGGTAAAGGAAATTTTAAAACACTAAGAAAGCTAACTGAAGAAGGAAAAGAGTATTCTTCAAATTTACACAACCCAGGTAACTCCTTTATTCGGGAATATCTATTAACTTATTGAGGAATTCCATACTACACAGTTTGGAAACTTTGGTTTGGGCTGAGGTGACAAGAAGATTTACCACAGCCTCTATTCTTAACATGAAATAGACTTTAGCATGGCCTCCTTGTGAAATGCTCCATAGTTTTAAGATAAAATTCAGCCACAATCTTCTCTGAGAAAACTTGCTTGATAATTTCTCTAATTTCCCCCCTTCCCTTTTCCCTACTCACTCTAGATTCTTCACAGACGCATCTACAAACACAAAGTGTGGATGTCTTTTATCTGAGTTCCTGAGGTACTTGGGTCTTCCTTTGTCACAGCAATTCTTATATTGTGATCGACAGTCTTGCTTCATCTCTAGATCACCAAACTATGGTCCACTGGTCCACTGCCTACTTTTGTAAATCAAATTTTATTGAAATATAGTCATGCTCGCTGGTGTAAGTATTATCTATGTCTGATTTTAGGGTACAGTGGCAGAAGTGACTAGTTGCGACAAAGACCATATGAACTGCAACCTTATAATATTTACTATTTGGTCTTTTAGGGGAAAATTTTTCAACTGCAGTCCTAGGCTCCTATTACCTTATGGTCAGGTCTGGTGTCCAGTTCCTTCAACTTAATGCCTAGTAAATGATAGATACTCAAAGTTTGTTGAATGACAAAATTTTTCACCTTTTAGAATAAATCTAAGAATATATGACCTTGAAGTAAATGCTTTAATAAAATGTGAGAGATGGAATATTTAACTCAGGTCATACAGTCAGTTTTATTCAATGTTAAAATAGTTTTTTTTCCCTATGTCAACTTGGAAATATAGGTTCAAACAATGTTAACTCTTAATAAATAAAAAGTCATGTATCGAAGTATGTGATCCAAAGACAGTACAGAATTCGAAGGTTACTCTGTAGAGAATATTTTATGTATTATTTATTTATTTGTAGAGACAAGGTCTCACCCTGTCGCCCAGGCTTGTGTGCAATGGCACGATCATAGTTCACTGCAGCCTCAAAAGCCTGAGCTCACGTGATCTTCTTGCTTCAGCCTCCCAAGTAGCTGGGACTACAAGTACATGCCACCACACCTGGCTCATTTGTTATTAATTTTCTGTAGAGATGGGTTTCAGCATGTTGCCCAGGCTGATGTCAAACTCCTAGGCTCAAGGGGCCCTCCCTCTTCGGTCTCCCAAGACGCTGGGATTACAGGAATGAGACACCCCACCTAGCCCTAATATATGTGTGTGTGTATATATATATGTGTGTGTGTGTATATATGTGTGTATATATATAATTATAAATATTTTTATATAAATATATTATATAAATATATGTTATATTAAAATATATTATATTATATATTTTTATATTAATAAAAATTAATATAATATTTACATATAATATATAATATATTTTTATATAATATATATTTATATAATATATTTATGTATTTAGACAGAGTCTTGCTGTGTTGCCCAGGCTGGAGTGCAGTGGCAGCTCACTGCAACTTATGCCTCCCAAGTTCAAGTGATTCTCCTGCCTCAGCCTCCCGAGGAGCTGGGATTACAGGTGCGCACCACCACACCCAGCTAATTTTGTATTTTTAGTAGAGAGGGGGTTTCATCATGTTGGCCAGGCTGGTCTCAAACTCCTGGCCTTATGTGATCTTCCTGCCTTGACCTCTCAAAGTGAGGGGATTAGAGGCATGAGCCACCGTGCCTTGCCATAATTCTTAATATGAATATTTCTTTTCCAATATCATTTTTAATCTATCAAATATAAAACTTCTAATTGTTTACCTTCCACAAAAAATGATTTAATACAATTCACACAATTATTTATATCTCTTTCATTATCATATGTACTAATTTTCAGGCAACTTTAATAACATAGCTTAGACCTAAACTGATGCATACTTCCCCAATTTAGTACATGGTTAACTGAATGAATATCCTGTAAGAGATTTTTACAGTCAAGTGACAGACTATATAACCACACAATTTATCCTAAGATATCTGTAAATGTTGATGGATTAGTGTCGGAGCTTTCAGATTCACAGTTTGATTTCTGGAGTCAAATGTTATAATCCAAGGAATTATTTAGGTAGAAATTATAGGAATGAGGACAGATTAATATGAAGGTAAGAATGTGTGTCAAGTGGAGGGCTCAACAAATCTCTTTTTGTCAGGATGGGAAGTAATAAGCAGCATTAGCATATAAAGAAAATAAATTTTATTGATTTAAGCCCATCATGTTACTTTGTAACTATGTGACATTAAATAAGTTAATTAACCTCTCTGAGTCTATTTTCTTGTCAGTGAAATAGAAGTAATCATATAATTGTATATGAACCAGTTCATTTTATTTTTCAATAATTCTTTAGACTATTTTTGTAGAGTCTCTTATTATCTACCTTATACACATGAAGAGACGAAACTTTAAGATCTCATGAGTAACTTCACTGTTCTGTATCTAAGTGGCAAAACCTGGACTCAAACCCAGAGCTAGAGCTCCAGGGGGAGTTCTCAATCAACCAGTGCCTAGAGTTCATTTACCAAAATCTTAGATTGCTTAATTAGCAACATTGCCCCCGGAATTGTTTATCTCCCCTGCTCTAGGGAGAGGCCACCATGGAGAAAGTTAGTGACCTTTTCAAAAAGTGAAGCTGTGTCTATCATGAGCCTATAAAAGTCCCATTGGTTTGAGATATAAAGTCAAGAAGATGACAAAAGAGTTATGAAAGCACAGACAGCAGTCGAAGTAATGTTTTTAGTTGATGTGTCATAGTACAGTATGATGGGAAAGAAGTCCTTGTACTTTTTCATAAGTAGAGTTTGTATTTTACTTAGACTAAAATAACCTTGTTCTTAAGAGATGCCAATATGCTCTTTGATTTTTTTATAACCCAACTAAGCAGTGCTTTAGCAAAAAGCATGTCATTATTGGCCAACATTTCTCTGACTTCAGTTAATTTTTATTTTTTAGCTTTATTGAGATATAATTGATGCACAAAAAATGCACACATTCAATGCATATCTTTTAAAGAGTTTGGCCATAAGCCTATACCCATAACACCATGACCAAAACCAAGGTACTAAGTATATAGTCACTTCCAACAATTTATTTGTGTACTTTTGTGTGCTTTTTGTTTGTTTTGCAGTAAGAAAATTTAACATGAGATATATCCTCTTATGTTTTAATAAACACAATCCTGTATTATTAACTATAGGCACCATGTTGTACAGAAAACCTCTAGAATTTATTTAACATGCATAACATAAATTTTATACCATTGAAAAACAATTCCCTATTTGCTTCTCCCCACAACCTCTGGCTACCACCTATCTCATAAGGGATTAATGTCCAATATAAATGAGAATCTCCTGCAACTCAATAGCAAAACAAAAACAAAGAAACAAACTAATTAAACATTGGGCAAAAGACTTGAATAAATATATGAAAATTTCTCCAAAGAAGACATACAAAATGCCAGTAGGTATACAAAATAGTGCCAACATAACTTATTGGAAAAATGAAATCCAAACAACAACGAAATTTCACTTCTCACCTGCTAAAATGTCCATATCAAAAACAAACAAGTAAACAGAAACAAAAGATAAATGTTGGCGAGGAATTAGAACTCTTATACATTGTTGATGGGAATATAGAGTGGTGTAGCCACTGTGGGAAACAGTACTGAGTTTCCTCAAAAAATTTAAAATAGAACTACTGTGTGATACAGCAATCCCACTTCTGGAAATATATTCAAAAGAATCAAAGTTCAGATCTTGAAAAGATACTGCACCTTAATGTTCATTGCAGCATTATTGACTATAGCCAAGATATGGAAACAATCTAAATGTCCATTTATAAATGAAATAATTAAAAAAAGAAAAGTGGGCCAGGTGCTGTGACTCACACCTGTAATTTCAGCAATTTGGGAGGCTGAGACAGGGAGATGACTTGAGGCCAGGAGTTCGAGGCCAGCCTGGGCAACATGGTGAAACCCTGTCTCTACTAAAAACACAAAAATTAACCGGCATGGTGGTGCATGCCTGTAGTGCCAGCTACTCAGGAGGATGAGGCACGAGAATCGCTTGAGCCCAGGAGGCAGAGGTTGCAGTGAGCAGACAAATATCCTCCAAGTTGCCTGTGATTTAAACCTTAGCTTGTATCTTCATTGACTGAAATGTTTATCCAACATTAGCGAGTTGAAATGAGAATCCAAGCTATACTACATGAAAAGTACTGGGAATTTGCTGGCCCTAAATATCTGGGTTGTTCTAATTCTAGGGAAAATAAAATGTGTATGCATAAATTCTAATAGTCCTTTTGCCATATCCTTAAACGGCTTACATTAAGTGCAAATGACGATGTTTAAAAAAACCCAAACCTACAGCTTGTAATAGAAATCGTGGAAGATACATATAAATATGATATTGAAAATAAATTTTTGGTTCTGGTTCCCTTTGTAAGAACCTGTGACTGTAAAATACGTATTAAGTATCCTTACTTGGGAGCCAGGCATGGTGGCCATGTCTTTAATCCCAGACACTATGGAAGCTGAAGCTGGAGGATCACTTGAACCCAGGAGTTCAAGGTTGCAGTGAGCTATGATTGTGTCGTTGCGGTCCAGCCTGGGTGACAGAGTAAGACTCCATTTCTAAAAACATATTTTTTTTAAATAAAGGAAAAGAAACCTTATTTAGGTTAACTATACTTGTGATGACACCACTTTTATGGTACCATGCGGTTTTGAGAACTCAGAAGAAAAAAAAAATGTATTTCATACTTTGCAGCTTAGAAAGACTATGGAAATGGATAAGTAATAGATAATTTATAGTACAATTATGTCTCATGAAAGAGGTAATCATGTGCTTTGGGAGTGGTGGGGGAAAGGCCCAAGCAGATTCAAATTGGAAGGAGAAGTCAGGAAAGGAGTAGGAAACATCTAAGGCAAGGAAGAAAAAAGAGCAGATAATAGTTGGGACATAAAGTAATAGGATATCAGCACTCCAGAACTGGGAACAGAGTATAATAAAGACACAGAGGTGTGAAACAGCATATTAAAGGTAGGAACTGCAAGCGATCTGATATGGCTGGAATGTAGGATTTCATAGGGGAGAAGTAAAACAAGACTAGAGAAGGTGAGGAGGTGTCTAATGGTAAAGAGCCATGAGAGTAATTGGATTGGAGCTAGAACAGAGAATGGGAAGTACATTCTGTAGTCTATATAGCTGACTTGCAAGATGTTCCCAGATAATTTATTAAAAAGCAAGTCCATTGCATTTACCCAATTTTATGACAAAATACATTATAAGGTAATTTTATCTTATACTGCTAAAACAGAATCTGCCATTAAATAGATCAGCGGGTAAGTCACAATACCCTTGGCTCCACTTTTCTCATTAGCAAGCAATAACAACAATAACAACTAACTTGTGAGTGGTTATGTGCCTGGTACTATCTTATCTCTTTACAGGCATTAACTCATTCTAAGTGTTTTACCTAGGTTAACGTCACAATTGTGAAAATTAAATGAATTAATTACAGGTAAAGCAACAATTATTATCTCCATTCTAAAGATGAGAAGAGTAGGTTATAAAAATGAAAAGAAACTTGGCTAAGATCGCACAGTATGTCAGTAATGGAGCTGAAAGAAAGTGAAAGATTATTTCAAGTATCTATTCCTTACAGCACTGAGAATAGTGTCAGGAATACAGTAGACTCTCAAAACCTCAATGGATGAGTTAACTGGTATCTCCATCGTGAGTTAAAGATGCTTCCAAACTCTTTGCCACTTCTCCCATGAAGAGGTGGAGGCTAACTCCCCTCCCTTTGAATGTGGCCTAGGCTGGTGACTTGCTTAGACCCAAAAAATGGGGTCAAAATAAGGTATAAGACATAAAAAGTCCTGTAGCTTAAATTTTTCATTCTTAAAAGCCAACCACCAAGCTGTAAAGAATCTCATCTAAACTACTGTCAGATGACAGGCAATTTGGAGAGAGACTCTGAATGACGTGAGGCCACCATGGACATTTCAGTGCACCCATGGCCTCAGCTACAACGTATGTAGTAGAACATTGGCACACTGAGTCTAGTCAACCCAGGGAATCATGAGAAACAATAAATCATGTTTTAAGCTACTACATTTTGGGGTAATTCAGGACATAAAACAATCTCTGTGGCAGTGTATCTACTTGTCTGCTCTAAAGCTAAACTTTTCTTATAATTAATCTGTGACTCATTCAAACAAAATTATCACTTTCATCATCCTGCTTTCTGTATCTCATTCTTATTATTTACTTGAGTGGTATTTGGAAGTGGCAAAAGCTTCTTTCTTTTTTGAAAAATAAAAGAACACTTGAGTTTCAGGAAATTCATTTTCAAAGAAAACCACTTTCTGTTTTAAAATGTATTTTCATCTGAAAAGTTTCCTAATAACTGAAGAACACAATTCTTTGTCTCTTATTTCCTTTGACAGTCTTAAAGCATTCTACCACCTGGAAGGACAAATGGGATAATAATAGGAAGACTATAAAGGTGGAGGCAGCCACACATAAAAACTTACATAAACACAACAGATTCTTTTTAAAGTACATTTATTATCTCAACCAATTCCATTTTGACACACAGCCCTGCCAGGAGAAACATGCTGCCAATTTTCTTTCAGAGAAAACACTTTCATCTTTTAAAACTCCAAAACAACTCAGAGATAAGTAAATATGTTAATCCATTAAATAGCTGTTTGGTTAACAACTATTTGTGCTTAATAACATAGATGCAGTCCCAGCAATTTATTTCTTACCATAAGCAAAAATGTCTTACCATAAGTAAAAATCATGGGTAAATCATGATTACCTCAATACTGTAATGAAATCACATGAGATTGAAACACAAAACTTGCTTAAATTTGCAGAAAATATTATTGATGTGTATTCACTAGGGTTCGCAAGATAAACAGAACTAATAGGACCTATATTTATATCATCTGTCTCTATTTGTCTATACAGACAGAGAGACAGAGGGACAAAGAGAGAGAGATTTATTATGCAATTTAGCTCATACAATTATGGAGATTGAGAGCCCACAATCTGCCGTCTGCAAGTTGCAGAAGTAAGCAAGATGGTGGTATAATTCAGTTAGAGTCTGAGTACTTGAGATCCAGGGGAGCTAATGATATAAGTTGTAGTTCAAATCCTCAAGTAAGAGAACCAGGAGTGCTGATGTTTGAGGACAGGAGAAGACAAATGTCCCTCCAGAAGAGACAGGTTGCCTTTCTTCAACGTTTTAATTCTATTCGGGTCCTCAACAGATTGGATGATGTCTGCCCACATTGGTGAAGATGGACTTCTTTACTTACTACCAGTTCAATTGCTAATCGTTTCTGGAAACACCCACACAAATGCACCCAGACATAATGTATTACCAGTTTTCTGGGCATCCCTTAGCCCAATCAAGTTGACATATGAACGTAAACATCAGGTTGCGTTCCAAGATGGCCGAATAGGAACAGCTGCAGTCTGTAGTTCCCAGCGTGATTGACACAGAAGATGTATGATTTCTGCATTTCCAACTGAGGTATCTGGTTCATCTCACTGGGACTGTTTGGAAAGTAAGTGCAGCCCACGTAGGGTGAGCCAAAGCAGGGTGGGGCATTGCCTC